TTAAATATTCTGTTGCATAGGCTGTCTCCTCCTTACCCACAGCAAGACAGGTTTGCTATCTGCCGGTATTGTACACCTCCTAACTCTTTAATTTTATTTGTAGTTTAGAGTTTTAAAAATGAGCATTTGGAAGTATCTCTGCTGTCTTCACCCACACCAGGCCACTGGACTGTTTAGAGGTTGTTTTCTGAATACTGATACACAAAACTCTCAAGCTTCACTGGCTCTGTGAGAAGGATCCCCTTTGGGTGCTCATAGCAACCTTTTGTTTAAATAGCTAATAGACCCAGAAAACCTAATTAGAGATGGCCACAAAAAACAGATGTTCTAGTAAAAGCACTTTAGTAACGATCTTCTTGAGCCACTTCTACATGTCCAGTGAGGATATCTGCAGCTTTGACCAGAACCACCCATTCCCTTGGAGCATTTTTTTGTCCTTTTTGTCTGTCAGCTTCATCGATCAAAGACTTTTTTTAGCAAGAAAGTTCGACACACAGATAGCTTAGAAAATACTGGGAATTTTTGCAGAGGTTGAGAAACACCATCCAACTCTGCTTCTTCATTTCCCTGTGTGCAGGTGGCTGGTGGAAGGATGGAGAGCTGACAAAATGACCTTGAGTCAAGCCCCTAATTTCCACAGGGTTAAGAGCATCTCTTCTCCCATTAACACCTCATTTATTAGGGATTATGTGCTTTAAGGATGGGTTCAGTCTTCCATCATCTCTTGTACACAGTAAACACTGTCTCAGCCATTGCTGGCAGAATTATAGAGAAATGTTCTTTTTCAAAGACACTTCCAGATTTTTTTGGCCAATGAGCAGAACAGTAGATAGTCCTGGACTTCAGTGAAGCTTGAGCCACTGAGAGCCAACAAGGGAGAGAAAGCTGTGCTAGGAATAAGATGGCTGGTTTAAAAGGTGAGAGGGACCTGTTCATTAGGCTGGAGGGATGCAAAATGAAACAAATTAAGAGTAATGAGTTTAAATGTGATCTGTTTTTTTAACTGGATCCAGTGTAGTGATGCAAGTGAGCCTGGTGTACCTTGGCCAGGAACCACAGACAGTTCACAGCCAGGACTGGCAAAACATCTTCTGGACTGTTCAGCTGGACAGAACTTCCAACACACTCTGCTGGATATATTATGTATTTGGATATATTACATATTTTATATCATTATATTAATATATTGATTTTTAAAAATATTTTATGCCTCCTGTCTAGAAAGAAAGTGATATTCCTGGCAGGAATAGTTGGAGCCAGTCAACTCTTTGGTTTATGTATTGATGAGCCACTTATAGCTGTGAAACCATTTCCAGTGAGACTTTAAAAAAATGGGACAGTCATTATGTCTTCAATGGGTTGGCAGTGCTGAATGTGTGACAAGTGTAGGGGTCCTCTGTGTGTGGGAAAGCTGTTTTGGTTTGGTGATATTTTAAGGAAACAGCTTGCCCTTCTGCTGCACATGTACTGGGTGGTTTCTCTGGGCTCACAAACATCTTCTGGATGCCCTGGAGAGAAATGAGCTGCTGAAATCTGTTTTCCTGTCCTGATGTTGTTTAGGAGGGTGGTTGTTGTGGCACACAATTAGGATTCACCCCTCCAGGATCTGTTCATGGGGCAGAACTCAGCAAAGGGCTTTGATGCTCCCTGCTCACTGTCCCTAAGCCTGGCTGGGGCTAAGGTGTGTGACACAACCTGGGGCTGCCTTGGACCCAGGGATGTAAATCTTTTGACAAAGCTGATCCATGTACAAAAATACTCAATGACTCAATCTCCTGACTTCTTTTCATCCCCACATGCTAAAATACTCCCACTCCTTCACACATTTATATCAAAATCGGAGACTTCTAAAAGATAATAATGTTACTGAACCATAAATAATTAATTTGCAGACACTAGAACATCTTTCTAACAATAGGCATGAAATTGGTCTCCTTTTTTCCCCCTTGTTTCAGGACAAATTGTAGGGTTTATGGTTTGTGTAGTTTTGCTATTTATTGTTACTTTAACACTTTGTATAGTAAATATAAATGTTATTAAGAAGCATGAAAAATTAGCATGAGTCTTTTTGCTGCATCAGTCCAGTGTGGAACTGGATGTTCCATGTTTCTATTCCCTGCTCTGCTCTGCTCTGACAGTGCTCTGTGCTGCAGTACAGAGATCCATCTTCTCTCCATGATTTTTTTGTCCAGATGCAAATTGAGGCAACTCATTAGATTAGAAGAGAGCTGAACATAAGCTGATATCTGAAAAAAAAAAAAAAGGAACTAATGAAGTGCAAAACAGAAAAGCTGTAATTCAGACTTAATTGAAGATAGTTAAGAGCCATTTCTTCAAAAACCCAATTCATTGCAAGACTGGGGGATTTTTATTTGAAGTATAGAAATGAATCCTTAAAGAAGGAATGTGAACAGTGGCAAGAGAAGCAGTTCTACTTCTCAGCAGTGTACCCTGTTCACATGCTGTGAAAGACTTCAGAGAAAAAACATTTCATTTTCTGTTTGATATAAGTACCACTAGAATTTAGTTTTTGTTGTTTTTTTTTTTCCTTCCAATCTCTATAGTGCTCTAAACTTTCAGTCCCACAGAGAGGGGGATGTGTGTGAGTGCCGCACACAGGGACAGATGTGGAGGTGTTCCTGCTCCATCTCCTGCCCCTTGCCTGGGTTGGGCAGGGGTGCCCCCATCAAACACCTCTGCATTCCCTTGGAATTTTCCTTCCCACTGCATTGTCAGGATCCAGAGAAGCTGCTGCTCTGACACAGGAAGGAAGAGATTTCTTGTGCCCTCCTTTCCCTGTGTCACCAGCCCCAGAAAGATGGCAACACTGTAATCCTGGGGCTGGTCATGCATCACCAGAGCTCAGTGCAGATGAACTGGAACTGCAGCAGGCAGATGTGAGGTGCTGAGGGTGGCTTTGGGTGAGAAATCCTGCAACAAAATAAACAGCAGCATTGAAAAAGCAATCCGAGGATGCTCATTAAAATTTTAACAGCAGTGAACATATTCCTACTTCATGCAAAAGCAAAGTAAATGTGTGTTGCAGAAAGTGTAATTTTATTTTGATGCTTCTTCATTATGTTCTGCTTTGTAACAAGTGTGATCTTTGATACTCTTCCATTTCTACTCTTCTCATCTCTTCCCAGTAAGATTATTTACTGTATAACTCCCAAGAAGGAAGTTGGAAATTTAATGTGATTTGAAGTGTGTGTGATTAGTGTTCAGAGAAACTCTTTTATAGCTGTTTTGACCGAATTTTTTTTTTTCAGAAAATCCTATAAACCTTGTGAAATTAAAATAAGTTCAAACTTCTCATAATTCTTATCTTAGTAAATCTGAGAAATATTTATCTTCTTCTGAATTGGAATGAAAGCAGATATTGAAAAGATTTAGTGTATGGGAGAGGGCTGGGCTGAGTTTGGATCCGATGTTGCAGTGGATTCCAGTGCTGTTTCTGGCACAGCACTTGCCTTTATGGCTGATACCTGCTGAATATTGATTTTCTCTAAAGGTATCTGTGACTGAAGCCAAGGGTCCAGCTTTAAGAAGTAAAATGTTACACAAGGGATTATCTAGCTCTCAATTCCATACCTCTCCATGAATATTTTATTAACATGGACAATGAGCTATACAGAACTGTGCCTTTAAATTAAAATTTTCTTGTACTATAGTGGTCTGCTTTCAAATTAATCTATTTTGCTGAACCTTTTCCAGAGTGAATTAATTTACTTTTTTGAACATGAGCTCTAAAGCATAGGGACATCAAAGCTTTTCCCCATTTCTTTTTACTTACCTTGCTTTTGCTTTTGCCTGAAAGTTGGACTTGAATCACCCCAAAAATTTTTGTTGGTGTTGATGAATTTTGGAATACATGGAATCAGTGTTTTCATTTGGACACTTTGTCATCTTTAATCTTGATGGCAAAAGATTGATAAAAGGCACCTGACCTCAGAATCTCCTTGCATTTATTTATGAACTAGAATGTGTGTTGCATTTATTAATTTTCATTCTTCAATCCAGAATCTCAATAGTAATTTTCCCTTCTCATCTCTAGGTCTGAAAAAAAAATGCTGAACATGGTAATAGTTTTCATTTTACTTAAACAGCTCAGGCAGAAAGTCAGAGGAAAATCAGGTCACCGGCTCTGCTCTGTCATTTCAGGGGAAATAAATGGGAGACTTGGCAGAAAATGTGAGTCTGCGTTTATTCCTGGGACAGAGCCAGCTGCTGACAGTTGGATTGAAGTTGTTGAGCTTAGTCCTTGCAGCAGCTGGATTTCAGAACAAGGTCCCAACCTGACTCCCAGGGGCTTCCAGTGCCAGAACCCTGGTTTGGCAGCAGCTCTCCAGGGAAGGGCAGGATCCCTGCAGAGGCAGAGCAGACCCTTGGAGAAAGCCTTTCCCAACACTTGTTGTGGCTTTTAAGGCCACTGCCTGCACTGCCTGGGATGTTGCCAAGCCCACAGGAATGGAACAGGTCCTGAGGCCCAGAGACAAAGTACAACACAGGTGAGGGGTCTCCTGCTAGGAAAATATGGGGTTGAGGGTTTTGAAAGATGAAAAATCTGTGAGGTTCTTGATAAGCAAATCTATAGGATCAGTGACTTAATCCATAGAAGCAGTGGGACCTTATGGGCCAAGGATTCCAGTTTCCAGATGAAATTTCATCCTGTGTCCAGCACAAGGTTTACATGTTGTAGGAGCTCAGATTTGAGATGGTCTCGAGAAAGGTACCTTGTGCTGGTTCCAACATATGAGCATTCCATATAAATTAATATGGGAATAGAAATTTTCACATTTACACGTAAGTCCACAGTCACCAAGAATCTTTCTGACTTTTTGATCTTAATACCTGACCTCTTATATCAGACACTACAGGAAAGCTTGTCCTTTGACTTGAACTGTTCATTTGGCAGCTGCTTGGTGTGTTTTCTTCCTGTAAAGGTGATTCCAAAGGGAGCAAGGTCTGATACACTGTTCTCTCTTCATTCCTCTCCTCAGTGGAAAGATGTATGAGCTCCATGCAAGCAGGCACCCAGATGATCAAACTCCGCGGTGGCTCCAAGGGGCTGGTCCGCTTCTACTACTTGGATGACCATAGGTCATGCATTCGCTGGAGACCCTCTCGGAAGAATGAGAAAGCCAAAAGTGAGTGTCAGCCACAGAACATCCCCTCCGACCCTTCCTGGGGCCTTGCCCTCTTGTAAACAAATGAGAATGAAGGGTCTGGCTCAATGAGAGGTGTTGTACTTGACTTTAAAGGGCAGTAAATGATTTTATGATGAATTTATGAAGTTGAAGTTGCTGTGATTGGCTGTGTAGGTTGCAGGGGTGTAGTGCGTTGTAAATGAGTTGGAGGCAACCCCTGTGCGAACTGGTCCCTGCAGTGTGAGCTTTGGGCTTTGCTTTCCTGGGATTTTTCTGTGAGATGAATGCATCTGCCCAGCCCAGGGCATGCTCACAGCCATTAATGAGCTGCACTTCTGTCACTGCAGTTTCCATTGACTCCATCCAGGAGGTGTGTGAGGGGAAGCAGTCGGAGATCTTCCAGCGCTATGCCGACGGCAGCTTTGATCCCAATTGCTGCTTCAGCATCTACTACGGGGACCACATGGAATCCCTGGATTTGGTGTCCTCCAGTGCTGAGGAAGCACGGACCTGGATCACAGGGCTGAAGTACCTGATGGCAGGGATCAGTGATGAGGACAGCCTCTCCAAACGCCAAAGGACCAGAGACCAATATCCTTCCTGTGATGCCAGGGAGCTTTCCCAGCAGCAGAGAGCTATGGATAAACTCAGGATTCCTTACAGTATTTGCTTTGCTACAAGTAAACACTAGGCTTAGAGCTTCAAAACAGTTCCCATTGTATTCCCTGTTTCCAGAGACAGAGTTCCTGAAGAGGATTGTTCTGGGCAATATTTGGAGATGAGTGACTGCAGTGGACTGAAAATCACACAGGTATATTCTTAGTCTCAGTCCCAGTGTAAAACCATCCATCCCTTTAATTTGGTGATGTAACACTGACATTCACTCAGAAGTTTTTTTTCTGTGTTGTCAAATAGGCACAGAGTACATGTGGCATGTTGAACACAGTAAGTCTAGAAGCTGTTACTGAGCTAACATGAGTAGAGTTAGATATTAGCTTGACCTTTCATTCCCAGTCTCATTTGCAGTGTTTCCTAATGTGAAAAAAATCATATATCCATGATGTTCAGTAATAGCCTTCAATACTCCCTGCTGTTCCTTAACTCCTGTTCAATGTGGTTGAAGCAGACATTTGACGAGGCAGATAAAAATGGGGATGGCAGCCTGAGTATTAGTGAAGTGCTCCAGCTCATGCACAAACTGAATGTGAACCTACCCCGACAGAAAGTCAAGCAAATGTTTAAGGTAAGGAAAAAAAATTTTTTTTTCCTGAAAAAGCAAGGATTGAACACAAAACTGAGTAGGAGAGATTGCAAATACTTCAGCAGCTGGTTTGTTTCCACTCTACTGAGAGATACTACACAGTCCATTTGGTAAACTGGAAAGAGCTCCAGAAACACGTCACAGATAAATTGTTATGAACAGAAAAAGTAAACACACCAGGTACCTTCTGGTGTTACATAACATGAAAACACACAGTACCAAGATTACTCTTTTGCTATACCTTTTTGATCAGAAACTCAGTCATATTTCCTCCTCCAGTTATGTTCTCTCTAATAAATATTATCTAATAAAGTATCCAATATCCTATGATAGCTGGTAGTAATAAAATATCCAGCCTGCAAACTTCTGTATCTGTCAGATTTTTGCACTGCTAAGAACTGTTTGTTTGACATTGCATTCTGCTGACCTTGGCCCAATTTAGTGAGCAACAATGGAGACGTGTAGCTTTTGTTATCAAAAGCCTTTATGTGAAATCCCTGATGATTTTTTCTTTACTTGCAAAATTAGTATTTTTCCAGATCTTATTAGTTTATTGCCATGGATTTAATATATATCCTCTCAAATCCTGGATATAAAATTAATTTCAAGATGACTTGGGCTCCAGTGATTTTCTGAAGATGTGAGTGGGTAATTCTGTCAGGCACACACATGTTGTTGGAGGGTACCTTGTCTTGATTGCCATAGACAGAAGAAATCCTTCTGCAGGGTTCCCTATAGAAAAATTAAAACCTTCAAATTTGTTTTTTGGCTCCTGCACTGATGTATCCATGGGAGAGACACAAAGCTGTGCAGAGGATTCCTGTGACAAGGCTGATAGATCAATTGGTTCTAGCAGCCACATCAGGCAACTTCAACCTGCATTTAATTTGAGTGCTTCATTCTCATGCAGGGGTTTGTTTATTTAAAATTGGTGCAGGCAGTTGGGTTCCTGACTGTCTCATTGCTGTGTGCTGCAGGAGGCTGACACAGATGACAACCAGGGCACACTGGACTTTGAGGAGTTCTCTGCCTTCTACAAGATGATGTCGACGCGGCGTGATCTGTACCTGCTGATGCTTACCTACAGCAACCACAAAGACTACCTGGACACAGATGACCTGAAACGCTTCTTGGAGACTGAACAGAAGGTAAGCCCAAGCCAGGTGCAGAATTCCAGCTGTGTGCCTTCCTGCTTTGCCATTGGGAATGAATTCTCTTTTAAAAGGGGTGGGGACTTCGGTGCAGTGTGTGTGAAAAACAGACAGATGTCTCTTTGTTTTCATCTGTAGGCTGGCAGGACTATTTCTTGAATCTTCTTGCTCCCAGTACCTTTTTTTTTCCTGTAGGCTATTTCAGTGTGCCCCAAAATATAATCTCTAGAATTGCTTTATTTTTTCATGTGCTTCCCTTGAACAATCCCATCAGCATCTGTCTGTTCCCAGAATTCAGTACCTCGGAGCAAAGCTGGTGTTCCTGGCTCTGCTTGTGACCTAGTACACAGCCCATGATGAAACTCTGAATTACGTTGTCACACTATTTTAGTGTGTAAACTGAAAAATTATCTTTCAAAGAGCAGTTGAGAGGATGATTAATGTATAGGAGAGTTTTTGAAACACATTGTAGTACCTGAGAAATTTTCTTTGAGTGATGTAAGTCCAGTGCTGCAGGAACAAATGCTTTGATTTATCTTTGCCCTTTCCCTCTCATGGTCTCCTCTGAAGTTTCATGCCTGTAAGTCATAAATGTCCCTGAGTAGTTTCAATCATCGTCCATGAAAGGAATAAAAAATCCACCACTCTGGCAGTTATCTTCTTAGATAAATGGGGTGTGTTTCCATTTCATTGGTCAATTGATCCTCCAGATGGTGAGGGAAAAATGAACACTCACCACAGGACACAAATCAACTCAGCTAATTACTGATATGGCCAAATCCTGTCTGCAGGGCTTCTCTCACTTGCCAGCCTTTCTCATACAACATGGACAGGGAAAACATCTTTATTCCATTCCAGGAAAACCTGGTGTTCCAGAGCTTTATCTTTAGAACCCAGTATCGTTAATGTTCAAATCCAGAGTTAGAGGTTTTTGTCTTCTTCTTTTACTTTTATTTATTAGGTTTTAAATTACTCTCAGAAAAGGCATTGATCTTGTAGCAGATGTGCTGGTGGTTTCATTTTCTCCCAGGCGAAGATTCTGTGTTGCTAAATTGATGGTCACTTTATTGCATGCTGATGACAAGGGCTGTGTTTTCATGCCATGTACAGCATCTAATAGAAAGGATTTTCTGGATCATTCAGGACAGGAATGTTAAATAATATCAGGATAATAGAAAATACAACAACAGTTAATAGCAGGAGTATTAATTGTGTTAAAATTAAGTTACTAAAACATAGCATTATGTAAAAAAAGTTACAGCTCAACATGGCCCTGGTTTCATAAATGACAACATTTACAGACATATATTTACCTTTGTACTCTTTTCTTTTTTAGTTGAGAATGCAAAGCAACCTTGAAGTTAGCAGATTTCCTGAGAACATTATGTCCTGATTCTCTGTTTCCCTGCTACTAACAGATTTTTCTGACTGCTGCATAAAGATGAGCCATTTTCTTGTTTTATTTTAAAGTAAAAAACCCTTTGATAATGCAAACTAATCCTCTAATCCTACAAGAGAAGAAATCTCATTGGTTTGTGACAAAGCTCGTTGTGTTTGGATGCTCTGTGGTGACTAACAAAAGATCTGACCTACAAAGCAGAACTCTGCCATCAGGCAGCTGCCAATAGCACAGAAACTTTACACAGAGCACTCCCTTTCTGATCTGACCTGACACTGATTGACAGGAGTGAGAATCCCACTTGGGAACTGGAAATCCTGAGTCCCACTATGGGTAATCTGCCCAATTGTTGGACTGGAGACAGAGAAGAGAGCTCAGAGAAGCTGTGATTAATAGTCTACACTGCATTTTTGCTGCTTTTACAGATGACAAATGTGACTAAAGAATATTGCCTGGAAATCATCAGCAAGTTTGAGCCATGCCCAGAGAACAAGAAGGAGGGAGCCCTGGGAATTGATGGTAAGCTGTCTGGTGCAGCTTTTGTGGGGAAAAGGGAACTATCTCAATGCTCAGGAGAATATTGCTGCTGCTTGCAGAATATATTGCTGTAGAATTTTATCATGTTGTATAGAGTATGTTTCCAGTCATTTTGATTTCTTTTTTAATATCTACCATTTACTGAGGAACCTAATGGGAAATCAGATCTCTTTGAAGGAGTTTTGAAAGGTAAATATGATGAAGCAGCAGTCATTGAAAGTCAGCTGGAACTGGAGGTGTCTCTATTTGTGCGTTTGGAAAACATAGTTGAATTTAGTTGCATCATTCCTGCTGGTATTTTTGGAAATCATTTAAGTCTTAATATAAGAGGAATGGTGTGATCCAGAGTAAATGTCTGAGTGGGATGATAAATGAAATTGGTCCTCCCTTCCTGACCTTTGCTGCTGAAGCCTTCTCTCTAAATATATCAATGCTGTACCACCAGGCTGGTAGCTGTTATTTTGGGGACTGTAAGTCCTTTCCCCTAAACAGTAAATCTTCAGGCAGATCTTATTGACTCCAAGAAGGGAGTACATTCCTCAGGAATTAGGTTCTGTGCAAAAGCTCTTGGACCTTTAGAAAATCAGTCTTGTCCATTTCTGTGGGCGTGTTGTCATCCTGAAAAGTGGCAGAACAGAAGTTGTTTGGTTTCCTGCAGGAAGAAGTGGGTACAGTGTGTAAGGTGGCTGTTTAGGATGGGTCAAGGTCTGTTCTACATCCAGACTAAATTTTCAATTTATTGTAAAGCTTATGCTAATGCCAGTGAGGGAGCAGATGATATTCTTTTAATTTTCTGGTCTTTACAGGCAGTTGCAATCACGTTAATAATGAATAAGCAAGTTCATTATCTTGCCTTCCTCATACTTGCAAAAGTAAGAGTAGGTTTTTCAAACTATTGGAAGTTTCCATAGAGAAAAACAATAATAATAAAGAACCAACAAAAAAACCAACAAAACAATAACAAATAATAACAAACAAAAAACAACAAAAAGCAATGCCAATAATAATAATAATAATAATAATAATATACACACAGTTATATATATTATAATTATATAATTATATATAATCATATATAATAATTAATAATATAATTAATAATATATTCATATTATATACTATATATTATATAGTGTATATAATTATATATATTGTGTAATTGTATATATATATATATATATATACACAATTGCTTTGCCTCAGAATGGATGATAAAGTCTGATTACAGACTTTATGGGTTAGGATAAGAGAGAGTCCAGCATGGTGACATTTTGCTGGTGCCTGCTACAGAGCTCCTGATCAGGGGGAAGCAGCAAGTGAGGTCCTTTGGAGACAATTGGAAAAAGCTTTGTGACCTTAACCCCTCCAGTAACTTGCTGGAAGTGCAGCAGAACAGAACAGACCTGATCTAGAGCTTAATTAATGCAGGAGATTTCTGGTAACATCCAAACAGAGGTGACTGAGGAGCTGACGGGCACGCTGCTGGGCTGGTGCTGACAAAGGAGGAAGAGCTGCTTAAAAATCATAAATCTGTGTCTGCATGTACATCATGTATGAACATGTATGTGCACACACACAGAGGAGTTATTCCTCTCTTGTCTTTGTGTGGAGTTGAGACATTAGATGTCTCCTGACTCCCAGAAGACAAGTCCAGTGTTGCCCTGGGGACTGAAATGCAACAGCCATGGAAATTGAAGCTGCCTGTTTATTCCTCAAATTGATACAGCCCAGACAGGAGCATCCTGCCCACACTTGGCTGCATTCCAATAGTAGGTAAATAACAGTACAGTGTTCTTTGTCTTTTCATATTCATTCATGTGCCTGTACTGCCTTGTGTCCTGATCTGTGCTGGCTTTTGTCATGGAGCACCTTGGACTGGCCTGTGACAATGGGCTCATTCACGGTCTTGCAAAGAAACCCTTTACCTTTGTCTGCTGATCAGAGACACCGTGCCAGTGCAAATTCCCTGAGTGGGACCACTGCAATACTGTGTGACCGCTGCCAGGACCTTCCTTCATTCCTGTTCCTTCCTTGTAGGACTGATAAATCCAATTAGTCTGAACTCATTACAACCATCATGACATCATGTTTTAACAAGAGCTTAAAGCAAACGATGGTGTTGTTGCAGCAGCTGCCCTCCCACTGCTGTGTGGAATTAATCTTGCAGCAGCTGATTGGTTTGCAGGAAGAACTGATTACCTGCCATGAGTGGCTGGCTGTGTGTTTGCTGACACACTGTGCTCTATTTTCCACAGTGGTTGTTCTGCCTTGGCTTATCTTTTGTTTTCACCTTGGCTCTAGCACTGATTTGCTCATTGCTCATTGTATGTGCTCAAGGAGACTTCCATATTCAGCTGGGCTGAGTTGAATTCCCTGGCACTGTGTCCCAGTGTATTGTTCAAAAATCTTGGCTGCTATTTGTGTTTATCAGCTCTTTTCCTTTAATAAAACTTCCATCAACACAAAATGTACAGCCTAAAAGGACCATCATAAAGGTAGCATTTTATCTTGTCTCAGTCAAAGTGTGTTAAGACCTTTGCAAGTTTGGCAGGATTTTTACATGGGCACATTCATTTATAGAATGAGTGAAATGTCTGGAAAATTAGAAATTGTGAAGCAAAATCCTATTGACCAAAGGCATTATTCCTGTCAGCAAAGCCAGGGTGTGAATTGGAATCTGAGTCTTTCCTTGGTGGTGAAAGAAAAGCCTTCTGGGGAGATTTGAAGTGGAAGTTACAGTGTTTCATGTCAGTCTGAATTGTGAATGTGTCTGTGATACATGCACAAATGTCAGCTGGAGGTCTGAGAGCAGCAATTTCACACAAAGATAAAATCATAACTTGCTATAACTTTGCTTGTGATCAAGAGTAGTGATTGCAATACACAGAGGGTACAGGTGATGATGTCTGCAGGTTTTTCAAGCATCCCACTGCTCCAGAAAATAAATTCTTCTGGTAGCATCACTGAAAGCCCAACAGATAATTGATATTTCAGTGTCAAGTCTGGAGTGAACTTTAGTCTTCTGAAGTGACATTAGTGCAGTACTGCTGAGCTTCCCACTCCTCGGGCAGGTTTGTGGTATCATATCCAAATTAGAGACTGCAGCTTATACAAGCCAATGTGTACTGTCATTATTCTGGTATTTTTTGGAAAATACTGAAAGAGGAGAGGAGAGTATCTCCTGTTGAGTCATCAAAAACTGTCTCTACGCAGCCCAATTGCACTTGGTCATGATGACAGTTTGGGTCTAGTGGTGTTATTTCTTTATCTTTAATGTGCTGGTGAATATAGGGATGCATTTTAGGCTGGTTTTAGGAAGGTTACGACAACAAAAAGGATGAAATTGCATTATTTATAGTTTTGTTTGTTGACAGGTTTCACCAATTACATGCGGAGTCCATCGGGGGACATATTCAATCCAGAACATTACCAAGTGAACCAGGACATGAGCTACCCTCTGAGTCACTATTTCATTACCTCTTCACACAACACCTACCTCATGGGAGATCAGCTGATGTCCCAGTCCAGGGTGGACATGTATGCATGGGTGCTACAGTCTGGCTGTCGCTGCGTGGAAGGTAAAGAGCAAAATGGAGCTGTCAGTGGGCTCTGTAGTCTTGTTTCTCCTCTCTGAGAAAAAAAATTGTGACTTCTGCAGAAGGCATGGTAATGGAGAAGAGGAAAAAGCATGGGAAAATGGTGTCTTCATATAGAGCAACAAAATAATGTTGCGATAGGATGGACAAATTTTCATGAGTATGGAAATAAGACAGACATTTGAGGAGTGGTGGTATTGGTAGTGAGGAGAAAAATTGTAAAACTCCTGTTGTAGAGAGGATGCTGATGCTGGGCAGAATGCACTGGTGCTTGTCCTACCTAGCCAAGTGTGTGACAACCAGACTGGCAAATATAGCAGAGCTTCTGCCACACCTAAGAGGAAAGTGGATATTTCTGCTCAGGGAAGCATTCTGTGAAATGGTGACAGTCTCTGCAGTGACCAGGAAGCCTTTTTGTGCAATCCCTTCTGATGCTTGTGCTGCCTTCCTGAGACATTGCCTGTTTCATAATCATCTTTTATGTTCCGACCATCGAAGTGTTTTCAGAGTTTTTCAGAAGGCAAATGTGGTTTGCTCAGGTTGGACTGTGGATGTGCCATTGGATGCTTCAGAGGAGTTAAACATTTCATGGAAATATGATAATAGTATAAAGTCAGGCAAAATCCAGGGTGGGCTAGGAATGACCAGGTCTGGGCTTGGCCTGTGGTGTGAGCAGCTTGGCTGAGAGTCTCTGCTTTCCTTTTCAGGTTCAGCAGGAGCACAATGAAAGCCATACTCTGTCTTCTCTCCCTTGTCATAAACTCCTCAGCACTTGTTAAGAGTTTCTTTGTTGGGGCTTTCTCAAACAGTGGGAACAGCATGTTCCCAGCATGAAGTCAAGGCTAGAAAGTTCCTTCCCAGGAAGGATGTTCAGCACAGTGAGGAGGGACATGCAGGGTAGTAATGAACCTGTGCCCTGCTTTGGGGACACAGCAGGCTGGGCTGCTGAAGGGAATTTCAGAGTCTTATGGTCTCCCACAGACTGTGGCCCAGGTGTTCCTGTTCTGATGGGTGTCATTGTTTCTGTCCTACAGTTGACTGCTGGGATGGGCCAGATGGGGAACCAATTGTCCACCATGGATACACCTTGACTTCCAAAATCCTCTTCAAAGATGTGATTGAAACTATCAACAAATATGCCTTTATCAAGAATGAGTATGTATCCAGCCTTCCATCCTTTGAGTCTCAGGGCTATGAATGGGAGTGTTCCATGGCATCCTTGTACAGGGAGTGAAGATCTGACCTATTCCAGATTTCCAGACAGAATTTGGAGTTGTTTTCTGGGAGGAAATCCTTCAGATCCTTCAGAAGAAAAGGCAAAGCTGAGTAGGGACGTTCTGCACAAAGGTGTGGAGCTGGCTTTATTGAGCTTGTACAACACCTGAGGCAAAACAGGTTTTGCCAGTGAATGTTTTTAGTGAAGGGCTGACTGTTGAACCATTTTGTCTCTCTGGATGTGCACTCTGGTGCTGCCAAGTCTACACCTGGGTGCTTCAGGGATAGGAAACAAGTCAGGGAATAAAGAATCCAAAGAGATTGTGGACAAAGTAGTGTTTATCAGAAAGAGGTTATTTTCCCTACAGGTAAATTGCTCAGAAAATCAGTATTATTCATGGGAAGTTTCATATACCTTGGCAATTACTGTTCTCCTCCTCCACAAAGTCAAAATGTGTGTGCCAACTTGTGTGATTTTTTTTAAAGAGAAATTACTTTATTGCTGTAAAAATTTTCCAGTAGCTCTCCTAAAACAGCCCATCTGCCTTTACAAATAGAGCTGAACTAGCACTAAATTTTCAGACCAGGTAAACCTCTTGTGAGCCTGAGATTTTTTGCAGTTTGCCTGAAGTCATGCCTGGTGTGGCTGAAAGCCTAATTTTTCCTGATGAGGAGCTAATGAAGTCCAGATGTCAGGATCAAAAGAATTGATTTTTAATTAATGAATCCCTGATAGTTGAGTTCTGCAAAACTCCTTTATAGACTGACTGTTGTGCTGATCTTAAAAAAGCATGATCTCTAAAGAGAAATCCACCTTCAGTGTGATTTTACATGGCACTGACCACACTGGAGCAGATATTCCACAAATCTTACCTTCAATGAACCAGGCATTGTTGTTCCTTGGCCTCAGCCTGGATAATCAGCAATAAATGAGAACAGTAAAACTAGAACTAGAAACAACAGTTGCTGTCTTTATAAAAGAGGTTTTGTCTGCAGGTTTATCTTTATGGCACTGCTCTGTTGTTAGTGGGAAAAGTCTTCACGCTGTCAAAGCCAAATTTGCAGCTGGTGCTTGTGTCTGCAGGTACCCTGTGATACTGTCAATTGAGAACCACTGCAGCATCATGCAGCAGAAGAAGATGGCTCAGTATCTTACAGAAATCCTGGGAGACAAACTGGATCTGTCTTCTGTGCACAACGATGACTCCACAAAGCTCCCTTCACCAGCAAGTCTTAAAGGGAAGATCCTGGTTAAGGTAAACACCTAACTTAAATAATTTCATAAAAAGCAGACCTTAGGAAACTGGGTCTGGGAAAAGGTTCAGAACAAGTGTCTTCTCAGCCAGTAAGAACCTGGAAAGAACATCCTTTGAATAATTTTGAATTTTTTTAAGAATATGTCATAGCAAGAGCGGCATGCTCTCCTGACTCTGTAATGAATTTATCTTCTAGGGCAAGAAACTTCCAGCCAACATCAGCGATGATGCAGAGGAAGGAGAAGTTTCTGATGAGGACAGTGCTGATGAGATTGATGATGACTGTAAACTAATGAATGGAGATGTAAGTGAAGTGCCCATTTGAATATAAATGTCTGTCAAGGCTTCCCATCCCAGTGAGAGGAAATCTTGTAGTTCTCTGGACTCTGGGTGTGGTCTGATCTTTGAGATTCATCAGAAGTGGTTCAGGTTCTAACCCTTCATGGGGGCAGACTGACAAAAGTGCGTAGAAAGCAGCACCTGTTCTAGGGGTTGTTTCAAGTTTAGAATTTTAAAGAGTAATATCTCATAATTCTTCAGTGCATCACAGTCTGCTTCCCCTAAAATGCAAAAAAAAACAAAAAGAAAATATTCTACTTATGTCAAATTGTGGTCATTTTTACAGAGCATCCCTTTGCTTTGCTGAATGCTGGGCTTGGTTGATTTTTGCTGCAAGGAAAATCTCTGCTGGCTTCAATCTGAAAATCCCTTATTTCTTCATCCTTTTCAAAAGTTCTGTTTTTTGTCACTTTAATCTTCTGGCAAGTTCCACTGCACCTTGCAGAAACAATACAAAACACAGCAAAACCATTTAGTGACATAAACCAGATTGCCTTGGAGAGAGTTTGCATTCTCAATCCTCTCTCCCTCAGGCTATTTCCTAATTTTGTATTATGGATCTGAGCCTTTTCATCTGCAAGAGAAACTTCTTTGTGAATAAGACTACCAAAGGAGAAAAATAATTTCTTGCCTTTTTGAAGTTATTACATGTTAGAATATCACAATATTTTACAGCACCATCTTTGTTATTAACAGTTCCCTTTGCTGAGGTTTACTGATACTTTAAATCTGAGATGTGCTACACCTGGTTTGCTTTCGAAAATGAATTTTTGAAGAGTTCAGAAAATCAGAGCTTGTTTCATGACAAATGTTACTGGGAATTCTTGAGGCCTACTGAGAGAACACAATCTGTCACCCCTTAAAAGACCTGAGCAAAAAAGAAAACCCTTTTTATTTTTAGTTTTATTTCCCCACTTCCCCACATGGGCCATGGTGCACAGAGAGCAGGGAACCAGAGCTCTCTTCCATTTTGCCTTGGATCTGCTGAAAAGAGGATTCTAAAGCATATCCCATCCATTCCACCTATTAGATCCAAATTAGATCTTGCACATATTGTAGCTGAAGGATCAGCCTGAACATGGCATGGGACTCACATGATGCTTTTTTCATCGCTGCTGTAATAGTTTAGATTCTCCAATTTTTCTTTTCCCGGCCAACGCACCAAATAATGTGGTGGGTTTTAGCACTAGCTAAAATCACCAAGGTACTCACTTATTTCTACTGTGAGAAGGGCAAAACAGGCTTAAAACTTAAAAGGAATAAAGAAACTTTATTAATAAGACTACAAGAATAAGAAACCAGAATAAAATCTCCAGAAACTTTTTCTCCCCCCTCCCAACCTTTTTGCTTTCCCAACACCATAGAGACAAAACCTGGGATGGTAAAGTAGTACCGACTATACAATAATCTTTTCATCAGTCTCTGTAGGGAGAGGAGTTTTCTCTTGTCATTCCATGGAGAATTCTCCACAAGAAGCAGTTGTCTCGTTACTTTTCATTTCTATGATTGGCAGCCGCCCAGGCAAAAACTCTGCCATTTCCTCCTCCCATTTTCACACCACTCAGAAGTGTGTTCATGGACTATGAACTCAAGGGGTATTATTTTAAGGATGAGTTATTCAAAGGCAAAGGTTCTTTTACCTGTCTCTGTGATCATCTCTGAGAACAGAGGATTTTTCCTTCTCTCCCTTCAGGCAAAGGATCTTCACCAGCTCTCACTTCTCTCTCTGTTCAAACATCTCATGGGATCACAACTGCTCCACCATCTGCTTAGTTTCATCAATGGACACCTTTGCTCAGACCTACACTTTGAATACTTCATTTACCCAATACTCTTTCATGAATTAAAGGAGTTTTTCAGAACAGTATTGTCCATCTCCATGGCCCTACCAAGAACATTTCAGCTTATTAAAGCATCTCCTAATTCTCCTTCCATCTGAGGTTTGACTATCTCTTACTGACATTGATGTTTCATGTTGTCTTTTACGTGTCGATCGCTACTACTTTCCTCTCTCTGGAGAGGGGATTAAGTCTGAAGGTCTTATCTGTGTAGTGAAAGGGTTAAATCTGGCCCAGGCCACGGCAGGTATTCATGGAGTCGAATTTCAGGTGTCTCTCAGCTCGGCTGCCGCTGGAAGGCAGAGGATGGTTTTCGACCTGGAGACTTCTGTGCGCCGTATCGGCGAGATGTCAGCAGCTGTGGCCCGGCCCAGCTTAGGGCCGAGGGCCCCCCAGGGGAGGGATTCAGCCGCCCCGCTGGAATGGGACCCGGAGGGATTCCCGGGAGGGGCCACAGCAGAGCCCAGCCCGGCCTGGGGCCAGGGGAAGCCCCGCAGCCTCCTTCCCCTCCCCGCCTGGGAACTGCTGGAGTCTGGCCCAGCCCCCCTTCCCAGGCCGCACAGGCTGCGCGGGAGTGGGCCGGCTGCAGCAGAGCTCCGATACTTTTCAAGGATGGAAACAAAAAGAAAAAGTTCCCGGGCTTTGTGTTTTTAAAAGGCGGTATTTACAAAGGTGATCTTAAATTTTCAGTGGTGCAAAATGCTGTCGGTTCTTAGACCTGGCCAGCTATTGGCCCGATCTCAGTAAGAGAAGAAACTTCCAGCAGCGTGGCTCAGAGAAATCACTTACGTGGGTGTTTTCCACTTTTTTTCCTAAATGCCAAACTACCACAACTGCTTTGTTTAATGATTTAATGTTTTGTTTCCAGGCATCTGCTAACAGGAAAAGAGTGGAGAATATAGCAAAGAAAAAACTTGACTCACTGATAAAAGAATCCAAAATCCGTGACTGTGAAGATCCAAACAATTTTACAATTTCCACTCTACCATCCTCAGGAAAGGCTGGGCTGAAGTTTGACAGTAAGAAGGTGAATTTATGTTTAATTGTACTTGTGTTTCATTAATTTACTAAATATATCTTATCTTATTGACTTCAGCTTTGTAGCTGAATTCATGCAGTTAAATGATGATACCAGTTGAACATCACTGTCAGGTACACAAACTATTTTTCTTGCTCACACAGGAACTGGAGCATGAAATGTACTCTGAAATTACTTCAACAGAAAGAATTTGATTTTCCATTATAAAAACTGCTTATGAAAGTTGGGCTCTTTTTGTTCTTCAGTTCTCTATGTTCTATGCATTTTCAGATAATTTAATTTTATATTAACTCTAATTTATATAAATGTACTCAGCCTACAGACTACACTTCATGAAGTTGAGGCGTTTTCATTTTAGACTTTATAATAAGCCACAAAAAGTTTGGGAAGATTGTTCCACACAAATGAAAAACAGTGGAGATCTGCCAATAATAAGCAGGTGTAATAACCAGGGATTAAAACTAAGCTAGGGATGAGAACTGAAAATCAGCTTCCCAAAACATTCTGTGGGGTGAGTTTTGGATGTACTTTAAACCCAATGCTTTACACGATGTATCAGAGAGTTCTTGTGAGAGCCACTACAAACCCTTTAGCAGAGGTATTACCCAGAATAGTCAGTGCTAAAATCTCCTCCTGTTTGTGCTGATATACAGACTGTCTGAGCACTCTGTCTGAGCCTCCTGTGTTCTTCTCTCTTTGGCTGCTTCAGAGTAAACCTGAGGATGATGCGGAATCCGGGGAAGATTTTAGTGCCAGCAAAAGGCACAGCCGGTCTCTCATGGGCAGCTTTTCCAAACGCAAGGTGAGCCCCTGGCAGGGTGAAGTCTGTACCAGATCTTGGATTCTTAGAAGGTTTTTTATTTTTACATGCAGTGGAGAGGAATTTCATAACTGCAACATCTGCAGCACCTCGCTCTGAGGCTGTTCACTGAACAGACAGGCTGCGGAGCTGCTTATCATTGTGCATAACAATACAGATTTGATTTATATGAAGGTCTGAGGGTGTCTAAGATCTAACTGAGAACCACAGAAATTAATTCACACCATTTTTGGATTTGTGCTTTCTTTATAACAAGGCTCAGACCTTGGGCTGAGTTTTTCCCCATGTGCAAATTTTGCTGTAGAGCTGAGTGTTACGAAAGCTGTCATTTTCCATTTTCTCAAAGTAACACACTCATTGGCACAACAAAGCAAAATTGTAGCCAGCTGCTCAAACTTTGATGACACAGTTATGATATTATGGTTTTATTTCCTTCTGGTATACAGAAAAAAGGAAGCAAATTGAAAAAGGCATCAAGTCTGGAAGAGGGTGAAGACGATTCGGATTCTCAAGGGAATTTAGCCAGGAGCTCTGTACATTGCAGCAGGTTTGTTAACAAGTGATTGGACAACTTTTTTGCTAAAATATGCATGCATAATTGCACCCACTAAATGAGTTTGTTTGTGGTCTAGATGTCAGCTTGTTGGCGGCTGCAGGTATGTGACAGGAAAGTGGGGAGATGCAATGTCTGCCACCAAATCACCAGACTGATGTCTTGGTGCTGTTCAGACTAATTAGCAAAGCACAGTGGACCTTTTATGTTTTTTGAGCCCTTACTGACTCATGTTTTTTACTGTGATTTATTTTTAAATATGAAAGTTAACATTTACCCCTTAATATGTGGGAAGTTAATTTGTTTTGTCTTGCTAGGGTAAACCGACAGAAGAAGACAATGAAGCTGTCCAGGGCCCTGTCTGACCTGGTGAAATACACGAAGTCTGTTGGCATCCATGATGTTGAAACTGAAAGTAAGTTGAACGAAAAGTTTGGTGAAAGTAATTGCTACACAAAGAAATGGAAAGGTTTATGTTCTTACAAATATTTTCATTAGATGCAGACTTCTTAATGAAGATTCAGATCATCATCATATTCACCTTCATCATCTTCCCAACCATTGCTCCAATTGCTCCAATTAGCACAGTATCTGCTAATTTGAGGAAAACAGAGTTCCCTCTGAGTGGCATGCACTGAAATGATGCTTGATAGTTAAGGAACTAGTGCTATGTACTTTTGAGAACTTTATCTAGATAATAAATAAATGAATTAGAAGACTACCTCTCATCTCCTCTGCAGTCTCTTCCAGCTGGCAGGTTTCATCTTTCAGTGAAACTAAAGCCCACCAGATCCTGCAGCAGAAACCAGCACAGTACCTACGTTTCAACCAGCACCAGCTGTCCCGCATCTACCCCTCCTCCTACCGAGTGGACTCCAGCAACTACAACCCCCAGCCTTTCTGGAATGCTGGCTGCCAACTTGGTGAGCAGAAGGAAAACTTACTTATTTTTTGTTCTATTTTGGGAGGGATGTTTTAATAGGAGAGCTGGAATCACCCCTTAGGAGACTCTGAGTTCTCTGCTTGTCCAGCTTTGTTGACCATTGAATCCTCCTTGTTACTGTTCCTGGACTGATTACCTTGAACATGTGTCTTACATGCAAGGAGGTGTCTGGTAAATGGAAATAAACTAACTTCTCAAATGAAAGAGGGCTTCAGAGTTTAGCTCTTCTGGAGAGCTTCTCTCCCTAAAGCTGTAATATAAGAGAATAATTTTCCATATTATTTTTTGCATCTAAGAAGTCAAATTTGAATCTGATTCCTTTTTTTAAATAGTTGCACTAAACTACCAGTCAGAGGGGAGGATGCTACAGCTGAACCGGGCCAAGTTTAGTGCCAATGGGAACTGTGGCTATGTCCTCAAACCAAACTGCATGTGTCAAGGTAAGGAAAACCAGCAAAACCAGTGGATCACTGATTGCATGACAGGATTGAGTGTGAGGCCTTGTTACAGTTTGTTTAAAGATGTATTTCTGATGCTAGAAGCAAACGAGCCAGAAGGTATCTGTTATTAAAGTCATGTTGCACTTTCACACTATGGGACTCTTCATTCTTACAGGTGTCTTTAATCCAAATTCTGAAGACCCACTGCCTGGTCAATTGAAGAAACAGCTAGTTCTAAGAATTATTAGTGGTCAACAACTTCCCAAACCACGTGATTCCATGCTGGGAGATAGAGGAGAGGTATGGGACAGCTGGTGATTGTTATTTTGTGATGCAGGTTTATTTCCATACTGGCTGAGCTAAGGATGAGGATTTCACATCCTACAGTTATTGTCAGGAGACCAATAAATTAGGTCATGAACATCCTACATCTTCAGGTGGTTTTCTTCACTTTTAAGCATCACAGCAGTGGTTTGATGGTTTTCCTCTAATTGCCAACACAGTACTTCCAGGAGAAGCAAAAAAAGGGAGATCTTATCAATTTAATAATCCACTCCATAGGGCTCAGGACCAATAATTACCCAGACATTTGTGTACAGTGCCCATACTATAAAAGCGATTTGCTTGGGTTTCATCTTTGTTACTCTTTCTTTTCAATATTTGCTGCTCTTTGTTTTTCAGATCATAGATCCATTTGTTGAAGTAGAAGTTATAGGCTTACCTGTTGATTGCTTCAAAGAACAAACCAGAGTAGTTGATGATAATGGTAAGATTATCTGGGATTTAGGTTTTTTATGACTGAAATGTCCTCTTTCAGGCAAGTCTTTTTCATGAGAATAGGAGTAGATAAGATTTGGTGCCTATTATGACAAAGCACTGAAAATTGGATTTTAGCATTTTTAACGTTAATTAGACTTGGATTTTGACTTGTTTGACTGCATTGGTATAAATGTGCTGATGATCTTGTTGTGAAACAAGACATTTGTTTTCTCATTATGTGTGAGAGAAGGGTATTTTGAACTTGCTGTGGTCAAAGGACAAGTCGGCCAAACCCGGCTGGAAGCAGGGCCAAATTTAGGTAAGACCCAATACTTGTTCCTTGCAAATCCTTGTGCTATTCCTTATGGGAGTACTGGATTTTCCAAGAACAACAATCAATCTGTCAGGAAAACTAGAATGACACTGCAGCTTAGATATTCCTTGGGAAGGCAGACTTCTTGTTTCTTGTGAATGAGATACCTGAAGGCTGATTTCCCCCTTGCAAGGTTTTAACCCCATGTGGGAGGAGACATTGGTGTTCACAGTCCACATGCCAGAGATTGCCCTGATCCGGTTCCTTGTGTGGGATCATGACCCCATTGGGAGGGATTTCATCGGGCAGAGGACAATAGCCTTCAGCAGTATGATGCCAGGTAAGAGAAAGGTGACATCCCAAATTAGTGGGCTGGGATTTTTCCTGTGAAAAATGAAAATTAATGTATCTGCTGCAGAAATTTCTAGCTAGAACAAGAGGAGTTTGGGCCCTGAGTTCTCTGCCTTAGTCAGCTACTGACTGATATGGTGATGAAGATTATATCAATTAACTCTAGACTTTTGGGACTAGATTTTGAAAAAATGGGTAAGATTGTTAAGCAGCATGGGTAAATACTGTGGGCTTGGCAGACTGCTGTACAGAATCCTTACTCCTTTAGTGCTTTTTCCCCTCTTTCTTTACATCAGTTTTTGAAAAAACTCTAGTGTTTTGCTTGGATTTGTGACTATGAGTAGTAGTTTAACACAGAACAGAAAGTTACCTTTCTAATAATGGGATCCATATTATTAAATGCAATTTTCTGACAATTTCCTCTTTCTGTTTTAAGTTCAGTCCTCTTTCACATTAAAGCTTCTTGTGTATTTTTCTTTCCTTTCAAAGTAAAGAAAAAGTTTGTGTTTAAGATTAAAAAAAATCCAGTCTCAGTAAACTGACCTTGGATGAAAGGTTTGCAGTCTTAGTAATGGACTGAAAGTCCAGAGGTGATAATGTGGACAAGTTTAAATTGTGGCTTGACAGCAGCAATAATGGACCCTGGATGAAACAGGGCAGGGCTGTTTTATGAAATCATGACAAAAAATGGGGGTGAAGTTTGAAAGTGGTATGGCTGAGGTACCTGAGTGTGACAAGGTGATGCTTGAGCTTGGATCCTCACTGTGAGAAGGAGTTGGGAGAAACCTGCTTGATCTCTTCTGCTGTTCACAAAAGGAAAGTCTGCAGCTGCTCCTCCTGTGACCTATCCCAACCCTGAGCCAGCTCTGCTCCCTCTGTTTCAGGTTACAGACACGTGTACCTGGAAGGCATAGAAGAGGCTTCCATCTTTGTGCATGTGGCTATAAATGACATCTGTGGTAAGGTGAGTGTCTCTGTGGTGTGCAACACCCTCACAGGAGCTGCCAGGATCTTGTATCACACCAGGGAAGCTCAGTGGGTGAAGGTCCAGGCTGACACTTCTGTTCACTTAGAGTAAAATTTATCTCTGTGCTTGTCATGGTAGCCTGAGATCTTTCTGAATATTCATGGAGATAAAGGCAAATCGTAGGGAAGTTATAAAAGAGATTCCTGCAGTACCTTTTTGAGGAAGCCATAAGGGAAAGTTATTTCATTGCAGCACACACATTTATATAAATAATGTGATTTTGTCCAATCCTGTGAGTGCACCTTGCTGAACCAAAGGTTACACACCTTAACCCTGAGCACTTGTTCCCTGCAAAGCTGATGCTATAAAGGCTCTGTCTGTTGTTTTGGCATTTTAAATGTAATTAAATCCTTCAAGCTTATTTGCTTTCGATTTTTTTTTACCATAATAACTCTTAAAATGCAGAGGAAAGGTGATTCTAGTAATAGTTGGACATATTTACACTCCTTTTCTGTTATTAAGGGTTCGTTTGCTTTGCATGCAGGAAATTAATAACTCTCAAGGAGCCACATCTCAATTTCCACAAAAGTAAAGCCCTAATTTCAGACTTTTCCTAGACCAGATAAAAATGTGACAGTTCCTGTCCTCTCAGTGCAGTGTTCTGTGCTGTTAATGTCAATGAAATTCAGATACAAAGCACCTTGCAAGGCCTTGAGGATCTTGGTCCCGCAGCAGCAAGGTGCAATGTCAGCATCGCGACAGCAGGAGGAGGCATCCAACGGGCTGGGAATGCCCAGGCCCTCCTCCAAGGGGCAATTCGAGCAATTCCTGAACAGGAAAACAGTTTTTTTTAACTGCTAGACTTTAATCACCTCTTAGTTGCTGAACTCCATCAGCTCCCAAGTTGCTGCCCTTGCCAGCAGTGTTTAATGGAAAGGACCGTGTTCATCCTCTGTGAATGTTTGAAGTATTTTCAGTTTCAGCCTCCTCTGGCAAATTCTCTCTCTGTTTAGCCCAAATTTCCTAGTGTTTCATAATTATTTGCTCTTACTAACTTCTTCATGAGTGACTGGCTGGTGGTAGTTTGCAGAAGGGCAACCTGTCCATTTAAACTTTGGTAGTATTTTTGGGACATAGATTTTTTTTTTGTGTTCCTTGGTTGCTTCTCATTGTCACTGCAGTCTCTCTGGGTTTGCTGGTGATAAGAAGTGATTCTGTGCACTGACAAAATAAAAGGATTTGGAAGGAAAGCCTGTATGTGTTGTGGTTTTGGGTTTTTTTTTGGTTTTTTGTAATTTATAATTTTTAATAAAAACTACTGAAAATGTGGAACATATATTACACATCCCTTTCTGGTTTGGTTTGTCTGAATCACTTTTTGCTTTGATTTTCAGTTAACAGAGTGCTGTCCAAATTAGATTTTTTTCTTTTCTCCTCTCTTATTTATGGGCAGAAAAATCACCCCAATTATCAGCCTGGTTTTACCCATTCTTTATTAATCCAGAGATTCTAATGCAAACATTTACATTTTGGCACTCTTTTATAAATGGAGATTTTCCACCTGCTCAGTAGCTTGGTGTTACTAAAACAGTCTTAGATGTTTTTTTTTTCATCTTAACTTGTCTCTGATATCTCTTTCAGATTGTTCTGTTTCCTGGAAAGGCTGTTCTTTGTTTCTGTCTCTTCTGTGGTCTGCTCATGTACTGCAGAATTTCTTGTGGTTATTCTAGATGTGCCTATCTCTGAGATCCTCCCTCACTGTTACTCTGCCTTTACTCTGTTTGTGATTTCAGTGGGCTTCTCTATGTCAAAAAAGTCTCCTTTTAGAAGCAGAGCGTTTTTTGACACCTTGAAGGTACCCCTCCTGTCTCAGGGAGGTGCAGACACCACCACACACCTGCATGCCTTGAGCTGGTAGCTTCATTAGCATCAATGTTTCCTTGTTAGCATTTTTCGAGCTCTCCAACTCATGGAACATGAATTGTGACATTTGACTGGGTCACTCCTGTGGGGTCATTGACAGCCAGAGAGCCCTCCCTGTGTGAAGCAGATCCAGGATAAAAGTCCTGCCATGCTCCCCCTTCTCTCAGCCTCTCCCTCTCCTGCCTTTTCTCTTGAGGACAATAATTCAAACCCCTTCCTTCACATGAAAAGAGCATTGACAGTGAATCATTTGCTAAATTGTGGGAAAGCCAGTGTGCTGTTTTTCAAGTCTTCTTTAGAGAGTGAAACAGCCCTGTAAAAGCTGGGCTGGAAGCTGAAAGCACGATGTCCTGGATCTCCCTCAAAATTGCTCTCTTTTAATTTTTCCTTCTTTTAAAAGCTTTTTTTCCCCCCAAGTTAACCAAATCTGCCTTTGGGTTCTTGAATCGCTCCATTGATTCAAGCAATAGTGTCCAGCTTAACAAAGCTGCACCAAGCAAACCAGAATAACACCTGGGGCCCTGCACTGCGTGTCACCCATTCCATCAGTGCTTCCCTTTTCTTTTTGGTGGATATTATTTGTCTGTGTTGTTTGTATGACAGTTTTTTCCTGGGTTTTGCAAATATTTATATTGTCTGATGGTTATAGAAAAAAATCGTGTACTTTCCAGCTTGTCTCCCAGTAATCCAAGCAGACTGTTCAATAGTTTGGCTCTCACAGATCTTCCAGTATTTAATATTTGCCTTGCATGGGAAAAATCAATCCCTTTATCATCTTTATCTTATCCTAAATTTTTGATAATGTCCTTCTCACACTGGAAATCGGCATGTGATAACTAAACTTCTGACAATTATAATTCACTAAATATTATTTTATAAAGTAATATTATGAACACTTTTATTGGTCCTTGTGTCAGCCAAATAAACCTTGGTCCCTCATGGGAGCTTGGGGAGGACACTCAGGCTAAAAGCAGCTCTTAGCCCAGGCTCAGTGCACAGGGCAGCCAATATCTGTCCATTAAGTCCTGCACAGCAGAATTGGAAATGCATGAGCATGCACTCAAATGTTTATTTGGGGGTGAAAGACCATTGTAATTTAAATGAGACACCTCTGTGCCATATTTTGGCCCTGCAGAAATGTGACCTCATGTGACATCACAGGGAACATCACTGGAACAGTGCTGTGAGTGCCAGCAAGCATGGCTGCTGGTCAGGTTCTGTCATGGGCTTCTTAAAATGCACTTCCATCATGATGTACTCTGGGTTTATTTGTTCTTGATGCTACAGCTGCTCAAAAGTCTGATCTAACTGGGAAATAAAGAGAACAAAGGGGGAGAAATAGATTAAAAGAGAAATACCCTTCTGTGCTTTAAGTGATCTCTGAGCAAACCAACACTGTTTCAGGCATCAGCCTGCTGCTTGAAAAGTTGGCAAGTACACCTGGAATGTCTGCAGGAATGCTGAAACTCTGTTTCATTGAAATGTAAATCAGTTGTATGGTGGTGGGAAATTCATGATGGTGAATTTATGTGTTTAATGCTTAAATAACTACTGAAGACTATGGAGAACTGTATTATGACACTGACTAACTTCCCTTGTTTATAGTGTGTTTCCTCAGTGCTGAAAACATACACGAGTGTCTTGGGATAAGTGTTGTATGGTAGGAAAAATTACCAAAATGTAATCACACAGGTAGAAATTGAAATACTCAATGATCTTTTGTGTGTTTATAGTTAACTGCTGTTCGTGACAATGCTGAATTCAGTTGAAGTGTAGAACTCCTTTATACTGAAAAATTATTCTATTTTATGGTCAGTGTTTATTTCCCAGCAGTTCCTAGAAAATGCATTTACAACAAGAACATTAAATACACCTGCTTTGGGTGAAACCGAGAAACTCTTCAGCTTTCAGAATGAAATCCTTGTAGACAGAAGTATTTCTTTTTTTTTTTTTTGTCTTCTCGATAGCTTTAATGTTTATGTAGATGTTGTAAGTAGTTACATGCTAGAAAGAAAATGATGACAAATACAGAGATAAGTGTGGCTGGAAAATGTTATCTAAAAACATAGCTTTAAAAAAAAAAAAGAAATGTGTTATTTTGGAAAGCTGCTGTTAGTGGTTTTTTTTCATTTTTAATGCCTGTCCTATTTCTGGGTTAGTTCTCATGCTGATGGTAGGAATATAGCAGGAGACTCTGTATGTGAATGATCATTTGCTCATGAGTTCCTATGCCCAGAGGAAGAGCCTTGCATTTTTTATAAGGGATTTTTTATATTTTTAATCTTTCTTTATTTCTTTTGTAGGCCAAACAAGCTCTAGGTCTAAAAGGGCTATTTCTCAGAAATCCAAAGCAGGCCTCTCTGGACAGTCATGCTGCTGGGCAGCTCCATCGTAAACATTCCTTTAGCAGCCACATCCTGCGACGGACAGCCAGTGCACCCACCAAGAGCCAGAAGAAGAACAAGAAGGGCTTTCCTGAAATTGCTTTTGATACAAAGGACAGCAGCTCTGCAGGGGCTGGAGAAGGGCGGGAAGTGGAAGCTGCCTCCCAGCCTCGCTTTGTGCAAGAGCCAGAAAGTACTTCCCCGTCCCCAGCTCCCCGAGACGGTGCCAGTGGGGAGGCACCTGGCAAGGGCTTGAAAGGTAAGGCCCAGGGCTCTCCCAAAGGGCCAGGGCAGAGCTGTGCCCACCCCAGGGCTCCTTTCAGTGAGCCCTTGCCCAGGGCACACAGGGTGAGGCTGCAGGAGCCCCAGGGCGAGAAGCAAAGCGTCTTCGCCCGCTGTGCCATCAACAGCTCGGGCAGGATTGGAGTGGCCACCAACTGCATGAAATGCATGATTGGCTCCAAAGAGAGCCCTGACCCAGAGGGGCCGTGGAGTGACCACACTGGCAGGCCCATTGCTAGAGACCCCCTGCACCCTGGGCAGACCAGCAGTGCAGAGGAGAGGGTAGAGCTCAGAACCTGGGTTATCAGAGGGCAGCCCAGGCCACACTCAGATTTGCAGCCTTGCAGCAGCCCTGGAACTGCAGATGATCTGACAAGGAGCACTCAGTATTTTGTGACCCCAGGGAAGACAAGTGGTGATTCTAAGTGTCACGGAATAAAGGCTCATTCCCGGCAGTGGTGGCAGTGCCCATCAGGTGGCAAGTATGGAAGCACTGTCAACTTGGTTGCAGCCAGCAATGGCTCTATATCCTCAAACTCCAGCAGTCTAGAAAGCCTTGGAAGCCCAGAATTCCCCAAGCACTGGTCTGAACCTTCTCGAAGGCAAGTGGGCACCCTACAGAGGGAAATGAATGCCTTGTTCGTTCAAAAACTGGAGGAAATTCGAAGTAAATCCCCCATATTCTTTACTGGTAAGACCAGATTTTCTTCACCCTTCTCCACTGTAGATTACATCATTGTCTCAGCTTCTGCATAGAATTCTTACTTAGAAGCTCCTTTATGTTGTTTGGCTGTCAAGAGGTCTTTTTTTTTAATTTTGTCAATGACAAAAAACAAATCTGCATAAATATTTTTATTTTCTTTTTTGTAGATGTGTCTGGTTTAGATTAGTCCTTGCCATGCCTAGTTAACCATCTGCGGTAGTGACACTGTCAGTAGTCCATAAATGTTGGGATTGTTTGGTCAGGGTTTTTGTTTCCTTGGTTTCCTTAGTGAATGTGGTATGATACTAAGTAAATTTTAGGATCCAAACCAGAGCATTAAATGAGATTGAATATGGAAAACCCATATCAACAAACAATATTTCCATTTATCAGCCTTTGTGTTCCACTGAGGGATAACCACATCAGGAATGATGTTTAATGTGCTCTCTTATAACAATAAACCTGTTCCCTCCTCAAAGATCTTGCAAAATCACTGCTGTCAGTCCAGGAATTACTGGATGGAATTCTCTGCTCTGGAGTGTTCAGGAGACCATATTTTATAAACACAGCAGCCCATTCTAGTCCTAAATTTGTATGCAAACATTTCTGCTGTACTGTTAGACACATTCCCTGGCTCTGAAGGCAGAGCTGCGCAGCACTGAGCAGCAGAGTGTGTGATATGCCAGGTTGGGCCACTCCTGGCATTCCCCACTGCAAACCAAAATGTGCCCACTTAGAAGAAAATTCCTAAAGCTGCAGTATTTTGTGGTTGTTTTATGCCAGAAACAGGAGTGTGATCACTGGGTCTGTGTGACTGCACCTGTACCGTGAACTGGGGGTTTGTAAAGATGGGAGATCAAAGCAATCAAAGGATCTTTTAGTAAGAAAAATGGCATTTTTCCTCTTGACTTGGCTGGCATGGGAGAGTAGGAAAGAGATTTTGATAAGAATTTGCTGCTTCACAGAATTGTAAAGAGACGGTAAGAAGTGCAGCTTTTGGCTGTGACTGAAAGAGCTCCTCTTCAAATCCTTCACCTTCCTCATTAATTGTCCAAGAAATTTGATGATTACATTTTCAGGAACCGTGAAGTGACTTTGGTGCCTTTCCTAAGATGTAATCCGTTTTTTAGTAAGATTCTGACTGCCCTCCTATAGTGGGCTTCTTTGAAAGCCTCAAACAGCCTCAAACGAAATTTGAGATATCTTATTTATTTGACCAGTTTAATCTGGTTGGGTGTCTGCAATGTACCTTCTATTTTTTTATACCTTCTTTTTTTTTTTTTTTTTAACATATTTTTCCAATATCTGCTTTGGGCTTTTAGGAAAATACCAGGACAATGGGAGGGGAGAAGTTTGCTGGTTCCCGTGTCTTGCAGTTAATCCAAAGCAGCAGAACTCTTTCTATGACTAAATTATTGGCATTGGGCTTTTCACAAACTCTGAGTACTGTGACATATGAAACCATTTCCCATTATCAGTGCCAGCTCCCCTGCCAGCCCCCCAAGTCACTAAACAAATATTGTGATATGCTTGAAATTTGATTAAATCCATCTGACTTCCCAAGCATGGAATCGGCAAACCCTTAAAATGATGAAATGGTGCCTTGGACTGACTGCTGCTGGTCCAGTGACAGCCCCTCTGTTTGCACAAACAGCTCCCTTTCCCATCCTCCTGCAAGGCCGTGCCTTGGGCCAGGAAACCAGGGAAACCAACTCCAAGGCTGCACTTGGGAATTGGTATTCTGCTGGGGGAAGTGAGCCCCTGGGATAAGGCAGGAAACTATAGCTGGCCCATTATGGCATCAGTGTTACATTTTTCAGTGATTTCCCTTCCAAGCGTGCCCCAATCTTTGCTGATGGATAGCGAGAAGGAGAGTTCATAAGTCTGATCAGTTCTGGGCTCTTCTGGACACTCCTTCAGACACTGAGAGTCTGGAATGTTGGATTTGGATTATGGGCACACATGCCTGATTCCCTTCCAACGCTACCAGATAATGCAGGACAGTTCAGCAAAGAGCTGCTCCCATCCCTGAGTTCCTGCCCTGGGCTGGAAATCCTGGTGCCAAAGGAAAGGCCTGGTATTCCCTGGGCAGGTTCTGGGAGTGCAGGTGATGTTTTCCATTAGGAGAGGGCTTTGGAGGAGTCCGACTTTCTCTAAGCAGCCTGGAAGGTGTCATTTCCTATGTCAGGGTACTTGAAACTTGATTTTTAGGGCCCTTTCTGCCACAAACCACTCTGTGATTCCATGATTCCATGATTCTGTGATTCCATTCCCCTGTCCAGTGGAGTGTGTTTCTTCAACACTAATAAATATTTTCATTCTTGTGTGATAAAAAAAAATTAACTTAATATCTGTCCATGTGTGGATTCCATTGAGTGCTCTGGTTGGTCAGAAATTCTTAGGATCCTACAACTATGTGTGAATATTCCTATGTCTCCTTTCCCTCCCACAGCACTAATTTATCCTGTTATCTGCACCTGCCTTCCCTGCATTAACTGGATTTTTCCTCTGTTCTGTCCTATTATTCTACATGCACACTCTCTCTCTAGTTAAGAACTGAAAGGACAAGCAAGTCAAAGGTAATGTCTGCTGAGTGTCCCTGATTCGAGCACCCTGTTGCCTGTAGTCCTGGCTTCTGTTTGTTCGCTACCCAATAATTACCTGCTTGTGTACCCTTAAGATTGTGGTCTGGCTTAGTGGTGCTTTATTAGTTCTGGAATGCATGTCTGCACTGTGCTTTGGAGATAACGGGAAATAATATTTTTGGCATGATTGCTTTGGCTCCCAGGGTGCAAGTGATAAACATTGCATAGAATGGAGCATTTTCTCCAGGTAATTGGTGGCTGTAGGGATTCTCCAGGGCTGCACTCTCAGCCTGCTGTTCATGACCCATCTGTCTGCAGAGTTTTTTTTAAATAGGAATTACCAAGTTTTTTTAAGAAGAATAAAGTCTGCTTAAAGCTTTTATTTTGTTTTTAAAAGTCCCGTTGCCAACATTCCACTGCATGTAGATAATTTATAATCTGCTCCACAAGTCCTGTGCTGCTTCTCTTCTGAGTGGTTGGTTATTGGGATCACATCTGCTGGTCAAACTGGTGTTTTGATTATTGTACATGCTCCGACTGTGCTCTGATACCCTGACCTGTTTGAGTGCTGGAAAGAAGGAAAACTGCAAAGCAAGTGGTGCTGGACGGTGGAGGAAGCAAAGTTGTCTTACAAAAGGGGACACAAAGGGCAAAAAATTCTGGGTACTGTTGTTGTTTGATAAGAAAACCAGAACAGTCACATGGTGCTGCTGTGCATGGACTGAGATTTCTTCAGGTATTTGTGCAGCTAAAACTGAATGCGCAAAATGTTTTGCTGCCTTTGGCCAGGCATTTGAAATCACAAGTTATTTTTAAAATCATGATTAACATAGACAACTAGTACCTTGAAAACAAAATGGCAACACATAAGGAATGAATCTTAGTCTAAGCTGTCATTTTTAAGAGATAACTAACCCTGTATCTCTGTTTTTCTTGTTTCTTTTTCTTTTCATGCCTACCAAGCAGACATCTGCTACTTCTCAATCCAGAGGTCAGTCACTTCTTTATGCAGCCTAGAAACGATCACAGAAGAGCCTGTCCTTGCCAATGAGAAGCATCACTGCAGCCTTCTCTTCCCTCTGCCTGTTACCCCTTACAGTGATTCTGAGGAAGGATCTGGGTCTGATCATTCCACCGAAGCTCCATCAGAGGGAAGCAGCACACCCAACCAGCCTCAGGAGCCCCTACCCTCCAGAGAACAAGGAACAAATCTGGCTGCAGAAGACCAAGGGCAGGATGCCCCAAGAGCAGCTGACACAAGTTTAGTAGCCCCAGAGGGTGAGAGGACAAGTGTGGCAGAATGTCCCACAGAAGGAAATGGCTGGACACAGTGCAGCGAGGCTGAAGATTGGGGTGGATCAGCAGCACATCCCCAAAAAGCCAGACTGGTACAGGCAGCAGGTCACAGTGCTGGCCAACCTGTAGGAAACTACCAGAAGAAAAACAACCAACCAGGTCAGGTATTAGCAGACATGAAAAGCACCTCTGAATCCAAAGGGCAAAACCTGGGTGCAGCAGCTGTTCCACCCCAGCAAAGCAATGTCATTAACAGCACACAGGCAGATTCTCCCCAGAAAGCCCAGGCTGCACAGGCTCTCCCTGTCTCTATTTCTCACATGAGCTCTTACACGTTGGCAAGAAGGGCAAAGAGTGAAGGACTGAAGACATCAGACTCCTCAGCCTTAATAAAAATTCCAAGCAGCCTGTCTCCAGCAGCTGAAGTGTACTTTGATGCCACTGTCAATGACCGGATCTGGAGCAAGCTGGACTGCGGCAGCCACCGTGACAGCATGTCCTCCTCGTCCAGTATGTCCTCCAATGACACTGTCATTGACCTCTCTCTCCCCAGCCTGGCTCGCAAAAGCCTCCCGGACCTGGGCATCCGCCATGACAGCCTGGAGCCCCTGGCCATCAGGAAGGGGATGCGTCCACGCTCCGCCACTGCCTGCAGCAATGAGATGCCAATGGTAGGCAAGAGCAAGTCCAACCCCAACCTGAGGTCTGGTCAGCTGCCAGCTGATGAGCTGTGCCCCCGGCCCCTGGCCAGGAGCCCTCAGGACGCGTTCTCGTCCATTCCTAGAAGGCACACCTGGAGTAGACTCTACATGGAGAGTCTCAGGCAATCTTCTAACAAATCCAAAGTGCATGACATGGTTGGGAATAACCAGACAAAGTCCAAAAGCCTCGGGGACCTTACATCTGACGACATTGTATGCACTTTTGAGAGCAAATACCGCAGCATCAGCAGGAGCTTCGTCACCCGCTCCATGCGAGAGCAGCGCCGCTCCTCGGGCCTGTGGCCCTCGGCCAAATCCCAGGACAAACTGACTGAGCAGCTGAAGAAGCTGACAGCCTTTCAACAGGAAAACGACATCACCTCCCCGATCAGCCTTGAGCCCAGTGAGTCGGAGGAGGAGGGAGAGAGTGTTGGGCTGCTGCGCCGGTCGTCATCGCGCAGCCAGAGCCGCGTGCGCTACATTGCCAACAGAGCACGGCAGGCCCAGGAGCGGCAGCGCCTGCAGGGCCGGGCACAGCTTGGGGGGAGCCCCATTGAGGAGAGGGGCAACCCTGAGGGTGCCTGCAGCGTGGGTAGGGCTGGCTGCACCGACCCTGCTGCCCACACTGCCCTGCCATCCTTGCCCAAAGCCCAGCCTGAGAGTGGGGCAGACACCGAGGTGTTCTTCATGCTCAGACTGTGACCCTGGCAGCACTGGGCACTGTTTATACTCCTGTCACTGCAAAACACAGTGTCCTGAGAGGCCCAAAACATCCTGCCACGGCTCGGTTCTTCCTGGCCTTCCCTTGAGGCCTTAATGTCATGACTCCAAAAGAATAGATGAGGATTCATTTTTAATTGCACCTTGCCCAGCCTCCAATTTGGCCTCCTTTGTCTGTGACCACTTCTTGCATTTGCAGTTTGCTCTTGGTCTTTACTAATTTCAATAATTCTTCTGACAATAGGTAACCTTGATGTTTAATAGCTAAATGCGATGCTAACGACAGCTAAGGTAATTTTTGCTCTTACAAATCATGGATCGATGTAAGGAGGCTGGACTTAGAATCACATTTTATTTTCTGGAAGAGTTTGAGGCCTCTGAGGGTGTGAATTAATAATGTAGTAGATACAGTCCATCTTCCATCGTGGACCTGCTTATCTTGGTGAAAATTCATATTTCCTCTTTGAAGAAGAGCTCTCTTGTTCCAAAGCAATGCTTTTATAAACCCAGCCTGTTTATATATCTCTTTATATATATCTATATCTCTATATATACACCTGTGTGTATGCAAAGATATGTCTGCACATGTATGTACACATGCACACTCTGAAACTGAACTGTGACTGTTCCTTGTCTCTGAGGGAATTGAGACAGGAGAGAGAAGGGAATAACTAAAAATAGACAGGAAATATCTTCTGACTTTACTTCAGAAATGGCTATGAAGCATGTTAGTCTTTTCTTGAAACAGCACTGTCTCTTATGGTATTTTAACAATGCTGCTGTACATAGCACTTTTTGGATTAATTTGACTATTTCTGTATTGCACTGTCATGCAAAATTTTCAATGATATGTTTAAAAAAGAGAGATATTTAATTTTTTCAGATAGACATATTTAGAATTAAATAACAACCTAAGCAGAGTAATAATTTTTCCTCCCCCTTTTTTTTTACTTTTTATTTTTAGGGATGTTGTCATGTGTTCCTCCAGTCCCCAGTTATGATGTCATTTATTATAGATGTACATTTTATCAGTGATATACAAGAATATTTACTGAGATGAATTTTAAAGAGAAGTAGAGGTTTAATTTTATTTCAGGCTGCATAGAGTCCTTATTATTGAAAGGATATTTTGCCTTTCTAATGATTCTTTTGTGTATATTGCAAAATTTAAAAATTTGTTTGTAAAACCACCTTACACTATTAAATTAAACATATTCAACCTTCCAGCTGGTGACTCTTTATCTATAACACAGCACTGGGGTTTGTGATACACAAACATGGTTATTCTATCTGCTTTGTTTTTCAACTTCCTTTGTGGATAACATTAATTTTACTCTTTTTTTCAGAGTGGTGGCCAGTGCAGACCTAAATCAGATTTTCTCAGGTTCTCCAGAGCATGTGCAAGGACTGACAGAGACTGACATTCTGTGGTGTGAGACACAGCACAGGGGCTGGGGCAGAGCCCTGGCTGTGAGGACGAAAATTCTGGGGGAACTGGTGGAATTAGTAGCCAAACAGACAGAAGGAGCTGATCCATCCTGGAGCAGCTGTACAAGTAACACAGATGGCCCTGTTTCATCACTGAGGGGGTTTAAAGACTGGCTGAAAATGCTGCAGCACAATTTTGCTCTTCACCTGTCATTTGATTGAAAAATCACTTCTATTCCTGTCCCAGCAAAGTGCACAGGGAAAGTGCTCTTAACTTCCTTCACACTCCTCCTGGAAGGGTTGTCACTTGTAGAGCTGGAAAGGGGCTCTTGGTTCTAATTTTAGTATCACTTAGCCACAAGAATTTAAACTCTGAGATACCAAAACAGTAACAAAATTTAAACTCTGAGATATCAAAATGTAAGGTTGGAGGGGTTAAATTTTCTGATTAAATCTTTTCAAATGCTCTTCAGCATATTTTGTGTGAAAATATTCCCTCAGTTTTCCAGCCTGGCTCAGATCTTCATAGCTTGTCTGCGAGACTCAGATCCTGCAGATCCCAGGAGAGCTTTGTGCAGCAAAGGTTTGGGATGTCCACTGAGGTGACCCCACAGAATCACTGCAGGCTCTGAAGGAAAGGAGGTAAGGCTGCAGCAGAACATGTGATCTGCCAAGAGGAGCCCCCCATTGTGTCCTAGCACAAAGCAAATTTCATTAATATTCTCTGGACGAAAAATCATTCTTGTAATACTTTAATTTTGGGCTGAAAAGCTGCAGGAAGTCACTGCTTTTGTAACTTTAATCCTTTTGTAGCTTTAATGTCAAGTACATGCAACTTGACAGCTTCGGAAAGTTAATGTTTAAAAGGCCTATTTGTGTCTTCTCGAAGAGTAAGTCTCATGATCAGATTAAGCAATACTTGTTAAATTAATACACCTCACAGAAAGCATCATCACCTAGCACATCAAAACATTTACCTTTGTTCGGAATTTTAACCAACAGTGTCTGGATTTAACTCATTAGGCTACATGTGAAATTTGCCTTCTTACTTCCAAATTAGTAGCAACCACTTTTACAGCTTGTTTTGTGACACTACATAAGACCAACTATTCATAATTTATTTATTTATTCCTGTAATGAAATTTATTCCAGCATTTGAGAATTATTTGCAATTTAAGTCAGCAGAAGGTCACAGTTTTGCTCTTCATTCTTATGTTCTTCCTGTGCATCCTGAGACTCCTGGATGTGGATTTCAGACTTTAGACTGTAAGATCCAAAATCCAGTCTCCAGATCACAAGCAGTGTACTGGATGTGGCTAGACATGGGATTTATGGTCTCTATTCCTCCAGCTTGGCCTTCAGGAACACTGATAATGAACATTCTATTGTGTCTTTCAAAGCCGATTGTGTGATCAACAGGCAGGAAAAATGGGCACAGCTTCTGGAGACAGTTCCAAAGGGAGGAATTTTACAGGATCACCACAGGCCAGTAATAGAATTTTGTGAGTCTTGTTCCAGCATCCAGCTGCTGGACTGAGCTGCAGTCCTTTGGTGTGGTCTCCTCCTTCCCCAAAGCCCCAGGTGTCCCCTGGTCCAGCACATTTAGAGGCCACTCCTCCACCTCCACCACCTCCACCACCTCCA